AGTATTACATATTTCACATACAGTATTATTATACATAGTTCTTACAAATACTGTAATCAATAGCCTATGAAATGACTTAAGGGATGTACTCTACAGGTGGGTCGCCGTCTTTTTCCTCTGAAGGACTGGGTGTAGGCAGTGGGTGCTATTACGCAAAAACCGCGATAGAATGAAGCCGCGGAAGTCGAAGCCCGAAGTGGCGAGGGTTCACTGTATATATTTGTATCTTGATTACTATGTGTGAACTTGAGTGTATTTTCATATATTTAAAGATTTTTTTGTATATATCCATATATATAAATTATGAAATGCTTTTAAATTTGGGGGACTGCCTGTTTATGAGAAAGAGTTGATTGAATTTGTTAGTGAACCCTTAAGTCAGCGGTTCTCAACCTGTTGGTTGCGACCTCTTTGGGGGTCAAACGACCATATCACAAGGGTCGCCTAAGACCATCAGAAAACACGTAAATGTTTCACAATATATAATTACATACTGTTTTGTGATTAATCACTATGCTTTATTTTTAATTATGTTCAATATGTAACAATGAAAATACATTCTGCATATCAGATATTTACATTATGATACATAACAGTAGCAAAATTATAGTTGTGAAATAGCAATGAAAATAATTTTATGGTTGGGGGGTCACTACAACAAGAGGAACTATATGAAAGGGTCACGGCATTAGGAAGGTTGAGAACCACTGCCTCAAACAATTGCTCTTCTTTTCTCTCACTGGAAATTCTTGATATACTTTTTTGGGTTCCATTAAATTGTCAATATGTAGCTTAAGGAGTCGTGGGGGTGTAGTAGTTTGAACCCACCCACTGCTCCAAAGGGGAATGATGAGGCCCACTGCTCCCAGAAAGGGGAAGTTCTACTCTGACCTATAGGGTCACTATGAGTTGGAATCCACTCAATAGCCATGAGTTTGTGTTGAGTTCAGGAGATTGACCAAATGTAGATTTTTACCTCAGAACTTACATGTCCCTTTTTACAAGCCAAGAAACGTAGGCTTTCCCCCAACAATCTAGTCAATTCCACCTCATAGTGAGTAGGTCTATACCATAGGCTTTCCAGGGCGCAGACTGATAAACCGTTCTTCTTCAGAGTGGCTGCTAGGTTGGAATTGCTGGCCTTTCGGTTAGCAGTTGAATACTCTAACCACTATGCTTTCAAGGCTTCTTTAGATCCAATTTTATCTATTATTGTAACTATAGATCGATCCAATAAATGTGACTTTGAAATTGTACTCAGTTGAAAGGCATTATAGAAAAATCATGCATATTAGACTTGAGCAACATGAGTCTACTATGAATCTGTTTACTCCTATCTTTGTGTATATTTAGAAATTTTGACAATCTATGTAAGTAAACATGCTATATGAACGCAGGAATTTGCCAAGTAAATGACATTTTGCAGGGTTTTCTTTTCAGTCTTTGGTGACTGAAAATACAAATGGAATTGGGACAATTAACAGTTTGGGGGTCAAATTCAGGTTGCTTGCTGTTAGGGGCTATTGAGTCTGTTCTGACTTGCAGTCACCCATCTGTGGTGAACGCTGCCCAGCCCTCTACCGTCCTCTCAATCACTGCTGTGTTGCAGCCCACTGTGGCAGCTGCTGTCCAGCTCCATAAGGGTCTGCAACCTTCAAGTAAGGCATGGCGAAAGCATGTTAAGTGCATTCGAAAATATAGAGAAAGTACGGGGAAATAGAAAACAAAAGATGAAAATGAAAATAAAAATCACTATACTGTAATTACATAAAACAGAAGTAACTATATTTTAGGGTTGTTGTTTTCTTCTCCATAGTTAAACTCACACTCTTGATAATCACTGCCCCCCTTTTTTA